TATCTTACATTAATCGATCAAGGAATAACACAAACATCATTTGGAAATTGGGATCATTAGAGCAGGCCATGCTACTGCTGGGCTCTGTTGGCTGCTGTTAGGTACTGCCAAGTCTGCTCCTGCCCCTCGCAGGCCTCTCCACAGTCCAAGGAAACTCCGCCCAGTTTTGCACCACCCTCACCGTTGTTATGTTCAAGATTGTCATGGATGTCACTGTAGCCACTCATCTGGTTGAGGGTCTTCCTCTTTTTTTTCTGCCCCTCTACTTTACCAAGCATGATGTCCTTTTCCGGAGACCGGTCTCTCCTGATCATATGCCCAAATTTATAAGATAAAGGCTTACCAGTGATGAGGATCTTGGTTTTCCTTACATTTATATCTTTGGCCTTACACTAGGCTTACAATAAACTAGCTTTTCTCTGTCTCTATTTTAACCACATACATATATACCATAGCACAGCAGCAGTGATTTATTTAATCTGGTTCTTCTCCAGCCAAAGTCTCTAAGGACCAAATGACCTTTCCCTACATGGTTCTAATAAGAAGGTGGGGCAACCTACTGATGGGATCCATCTGTGAATCATCATGAGCAGGATGCCGTGGAATGCCACCCTGTTGTGTATACAACGAGCAAGAGCTGGGAGTGAATCACATCCTCGGGGGCTGAGATTCCTGGATGGTGAAACACTTGGACCCAGATGACAGCTCTGACATTAGAGGAGGAACAACAGAACTGGAAGCCACATCAGGGCACCAAGTGATGGCCTTACCACCCCACCTAGCCAGTTAAAAATGAGTGCTTTCTGGCTTGTGGATGGGGTGGCTCTGGGCACTTCATTGGGGAAGTTGGACTCGCTGACCCACAGAAGTGGATCTGAGTGCCTTACTGAACTGTGAGGTGCCTCTGGGGACTTAATTCAGGGACCTGGGTTTGCTGACCCATGAGCTTGAGCTGAATGCCTTCTGGTTAAGGCTCAGAGCACAGTGGTATTAGCAGACCTGAACTTGGTAATGTGTCCTCATAAACAACTACCCTGAGCATTCCCTGGCATTATCAGTTAGCTTCCTTGATAAAACTTTTAATCATAAATCTTGTCTGTGACTTCTGTGTAGGCATTGCTATGGATATTAGAAGCTAAAATAATTAAGATTGCACACCTAGTGTATTTGAAGTCATCTGGAATGTGCCAAGGACTCACCATGCTGCAAGACTTAAGCACGCAGCTACTAATCAGCCTAGTGCCCACACAGAGAAAACACGTAATGATCTGATTATAAAGATCTCCCCATTCTTGTTGAGTTGACTCAGACCAAAGTCTTTACAGAAGCAGACTGCTACATCTTTCTGCCACGGAGCAGTTGATGGGTTTGAACTGTTAACCTTTCAGTTAGCAACTGAGCACTTAATCATTGTGTCACCCGGGCATCTTCAATAGAGATTACAGCCTAGAAAACCCTACAGGGCAGTTCTGTGAGCTCCTTCGAATTTGACAACATAAGCAAGGTGAAAGCTCTTGTAAGGATCAGAAGTCTGCTCTTGGTCATAATTTCGAGGCACTGGTCTTTTACGTGTATTGAGTTTGACTGAAAAATAACTAGTGAGTTTCTGAGAAGCAGATACATTCATTTCGAATGTCCACCTGATGACGTCATGTCAAGTTCCGATCCTCACATGCCCACAGTAGGAGGACGTGAGGGCCTCATGCAGTTGGTACTCATTGCAGTGGCTCCAGGTCATGAAGAGAAGGTTTGGTTCCATTTTGCATGTTCTATTTCAAAGAAAACTACATGTACTTTTACGTTTTCCTTTAAAGCAGAATTCAGTGTTGATAACTTTGACTCCAAATGTCAACACTTCAGTTGTTTGGGGGTGGGGGGGTGTTGATGTGGACCACCCTGCCTTCCCTGTGGGTGAGCTACGGTGCCTGACCTCCGTCTGCATC